TGTCCCTATAACCACTTGGTATTGGCTACAAAGCCATTGACACGAGTTATGGAAATAGAATCTAGCTCTCTTAATGAATAGAAAAAGTGCGACCCTAAGTAGGATAGTCTATGTCTTGCGAAGGCAGGACACTGTAGCAGAAGGTGTGTTGGTGATTCCTCTTCATCATCCTACAACCTAACCTAACCTAACTTTTGACAGAAGATACACTTGACAAGAGAATATAAGGGTCAAAACATTGACTTGCAAAATAACTATGAATACCCTGAAACCATTAATACAGGACAAGTTGAGTGTAGCAATAAAAACTTTTGCTTGCTTTATAAGCAAGTAATTGCTTCTCAACTACTTTATAGTTACACACGGTAATACTGCTCCATTCACCATTAGAAAACTTCATATTTAACAGAATACTGAATGAAAACATATGCTTAAAGCTCCACGGTATATCAAAAATGAAGATATATACAAAGGCTTGAAAGTTGATACTGTGCAAAATTATATCAGGGAAGGAGTACTGAAATTGTTTGATTCCATTGTTTGGAATCTGTCGCACAGTTCCAGCTTGACACTCTTTGTTCTCTAATATTAAGAAAAAAATTAATGGCAAGTATTTTTCTACGCTTGGACAGGTCGTTGAGACAGTGAAATACTTGGTTTTGAAGATATCAATTTCAGAGCGACAAAACTTTTACAAAAATTAGTTCAATCGAATTGAATGTAAAAATGTATTGATTATCATGGAGAATACTTTTAAAAACAAAAAACCATTTGCATTGATTAACCACAGTGTTTCAACCAGTGTTTTAAAGGCAGCCTAGTATTTCAATTAGGTAGATATACTGGAGCTTTTGTTATAGAGGTTCCGCAAGTGGTCCTACATACTAATGAAAAAAAGTATTCTAGACGCCAACTCGCTTTTCATTAAGGAATGAGGATAAAGAGTAGAAAGATATTTGGATGTAGAGATGTCTCTTGACAACACAACTAGTGTTCCGTAGGTAGAAGTTTAGGTAACAAAATGGTGTCTCTGCGCTGCTTAAGTGAAAGCCGCTCTGTCACCTCTAAAATCATAGATCAATTATTATATTTATGCTGCTGTATGGTACAGAAATTGGACGGCATCACAGAATGTTGAAGCATCTCTGTGAGTGTAGAAGAGAAAAGTTGGTCATAAGTTATTTTGTCCGTCTTGAGTTGACTACGATTACTTCTGCCGAATAAACTGTATAAGCTGTGTGCTATGCTTATCACGAAATTGACCTCATATGAAGATTTTGTACCCAACGGCTTAATTTAAACTTCGTTAAACTTACTCATGTTGTGAAGATGGATGATAATGCTCCAGCAGAAAGATGTTTGAAGCGGTAGTTAAAAATTGAAGATGTGCAGGAAGAAGAAGACGTAGCGCCAACACATACTTAGTCTTCTATAGAATTTAACTCCGCCGGCATTTTAATGTCACAGTCTAGAAACTTTTCTATTTTCATAGAATATGACATCGCCGTCATTTTGTTGCTATAGGGTAGAACTTTTTGTATTTCCGAACAATATAACGCAGCCGGTATTTTATGAGATAAGCTTGAACATTTATTAAATATAATGTCTCTGACATTCAGACGCCGTAGGCTACAACGTTTTGTAACCCCTTAGATTATAATACCATAGGTTAGATGGTTTTAATCTATAAGCTCATATTACCTAGAAGGAAATTTCTTAATAAAGATATTCTCTTAAAAATTAGAGCAATCAACATCTTGATTTTTTAATAATATATTTTGAGGGTCATTTTGTTTATCGATGGATCCCAAAGGTTATAAGAAATACTTCGTATTTCGCTTTTGGGATTTCACTTCGTACAGGAGTAAAAGTGCATATTTTATTCCCTGCTCACTTATAGATTAAAATAGGTGTAGTAAAAAGAAATCCATTATTTTTGCAAGAAATTGAATGCTTATTTATCACATAGATGGATCCGATTTAGATCAATTATGCGACGTTTTGTTAGACAACTTGTTGCCATTTTGAAGTTAATTTCTTTATGCTTTTCTAATAGAAGTCCATGTTTCTATTGGCAAAAAATTGAGACAATCGATTTTCACAGCATCTTTTGAGGTGAATTTTTCCCCAGAAAAATCATTCACCTTGGACAAAAATAGTTGGTAATCACTTGGTGCTAGGTTTGGATTACAAAGTGGATGCATAACAACTTCCTAACCAAGCTCCCGGAGCGTTTAGCGGCTCATTATCGATGTGTGTTGCTTAATATTGTATGGATGGAACATTATTCCTTTTTTATTACCCAAAGCTGTTCGTTTCTGGTCAATTGCTTTCTTCAGATGGTCCAACGGTCTAATTGTTGACAGTACTGTACTGAGTTGAGAGTTTTGCCGTAAGAAGAAGAAGTAAAAGATTCCCTGTAAATCCCACCAAACATACAGCCTGGTCACCATTTCAAACGGCTCACCTCGTTTTCGCTGGACGTTTTCGTAAGTTTTCAGTCAAAACTGTAATATGTGTCGTATTTTCTCCTTGCTAGTGTCCATCTTTGACGAGCGCTAAAATAAAACTGAGTCAACCAATTATTAATTTTTTTAGCACAAAATCTTATCTATCTAATGCTATCTAGCGTAACCCGAGCGGACTCATTAGACGCGGGATATATCTATTAGGAAATTAATGGATTCTTTTTTTTATTATAACTGCAGTATAACTATTTTTTTTAAATAAAATTTCTGTAGAATTCATTTATGAAGCTGTCAGCTAAATAACTCAAGTATTTAACTATTATGAATAACTTTTTTCTCCCATTTAAACATTATCATTAATAGAAACCATTTATAAAGTTTCTTCATATTAGAGGACCAATTAATATAAATTTAATTTTGTGCACATAAATTCCTGTTACGGACATTAGCTTTAATTTCCATATTCCATATTCGAATGTAAAATCATTAATAACCAAAATTTCAACAAAATTACGTATGAATTTAAGTGCTTTAATATTTAAATTTTAATTTAATTCAAAGTTCCGACAAACTTCAGCTTCCATACAATCAATCTTCCACACAAAATTGTGTCAATTACCTGTAAGACACATTAATTACTCAAACGTTTTATCGATGAGGCTGGCAATTGGTTTGGCTCACACCGAGAAGTGATCAATTTGGAAAATGTTATCGATTGCAGTACAATTGTCAGCAATTTTAAAATTTATGAAGCCAATAGTGCATTGGCGCAGTCCGCACAGACACATTGTTGCATATGGTATGTGCACTCATTTGTGGCAAGCGGATAGCCTGCCGGCACGTGCAACAATAGTTCCAAATTAATAAGTAATTTTGAATAGATGAGGGAATACGTGCACGTCGGACACATATTTCTGTCTATGGAACAGCGGGAACAACTGCGTTATTTATGCAATTATCAGGTGAAATTCATCCAATTGTGGCACGTTGGTATTTATGATTGCACATAAATTTAAACAATGCAACTAAACAGGATTTCACTCGAAAGTTGTGGTAAAATATTTACTTTTTACTTTACATATCATATTTACTTATTTATTTATTTATTTATATGAATGCATAGTAGCTTTGTATGTGGACTATATGCAGCCTAGTACTTAGGCTACAGGGTATTTAGTGTTTTGTGTACTAAAATGTAATAATTGCAGCCAGCGGTGAAGGCAATTATATATGCAACACATCACAAGAGACTGCATGTCCTGCAACCGATGACATTTTGATTAACCAAACTAATGTATCAGTGGAGAATAACATATTATTAGGTATTAGTTGGGTAATAAAAATTTTAACAATATAATATATTATAAAGCCAGTCTGTCATAAATTACTAACATTTTTTGCAAAAGTAATATCTGTTAATGCGACGGCTATCATATTTTTTTCTGAAAAAAAATAAAAACTAATTATTTTAATTAAAAATAAATATAGTTTCTAATATGCAAAAAATATTGTTATTTATTTAAAATAATAAAACATTATTTAAAAAAATATTTACTTAAGCATAGAATCCCCCATACCCCCACTTCATAGGTACCTTGTCGTGGTATGGTGGCTTAGTTCTGCAGTGATTCGTTGGACTTCATTAGCGGTGGTTGCCGTACAATGATATGCTACCTTCTGAAAGGGTTTCCCATGTTAGGCAGGCCGGCTGATGACCAATTAACTAAAATCTACCTGTTTACTTCAAGGTAGGTAGGTAGGTTAACGGCGGCACACAACGACGTCTGTTTTCTCCATGTTAGGGTTGATGACATCAGTCCAGAGGTAAAGAAACTACTATTTGATCCTCCTCATCCAAAGCTTCAATGCCGGAGATTGAGTCGTGGAAGGTAGTGACAAAGGAGCAGAAGCGATCGGTCTACTATCTAAGGTAAATGAGGACGAGAGACTCCTACTCCTTCATGAAGAGGGAGAAGGTTCTAATAAGGAAGCATGAAAAGGCTGTAACAAAGTTTGAGAAGGATAACGCTACAGCTCACTCAACAGCGGAACAACATCAGTCCAGAGGTAAAGAAACTACTACTTGATCCTCCTCATCCAAAGCTTCAATGCCGGGGATGGAGTCGTGCAAAGTAGTGACAAAGGAGCAGAAGCGATCGGTCTACTATCTAAGGTAAATGAGGGCGAGAGACTCTTACTCCTTCATGAAGAAGGAGAAGGTTCTAATAAAGAAGCATGAAAAGGCTGTAACAAAGTTCGAGAAAGATAACGCTACAGCTCACTCAACAGCGGAACAACATCAGTCCAGAGGTAAAGAAACTACTACTTGATCCTCCTCATCCAAAGCTTCAATGCCGGGGATGGAGTCGTGCAAAGT